CCCAAGGGAGCCAGGCACCCACATCCCCTTCTCCATGCATGCAAGCTTCTGGATGGGCATGACCTGGGACAGCTTCCAAGGCCTGGAGCCACTTCCCACCCTGGAGCAGTTTAGACCACAGGGACCTGCTGCCCCATCCTGAGAGGACCCTGTGACACCCCATCCCCACAGAGCAGCTCTCACCCAGACCCCAGCAACCCTCTCTTCCCAGCAGGATTTGGTCAGGAGGTTGCTCCAGGCCAGTGAGATGGGCAGACACTGTTGACTGGGGCCCCTGTTGAATGTGGTGCTGTGCAGGGAAGAGGAGGACAGGGGCCGGGCTGGCTGCAGGGGTCTCGCTCCCCATTCTCACTGAGCATGCCCATCATGTAGGCACCCTGATGGGTGACCCCGTTGCAATGGTGACCTTGCTGCCCAACATCCCTGAGGCAGGGCTGGCCCAGAGCCAAGCCGGGGAGTTCATCTTCCTGCTTGATCGCTCTGGCAGCATGGGTTGTCCCATGGATAGCAGCACCGGCCACCCACTGCGCATCGACAGTGCCAAGGTACTTCCCTCCCCCCGTCCCACCCAGCCTTCAAGGGGGATAAGCCAAGGAGTGGGGGAGGCATGTCTGAGTTGCATGGCTGGGCTGGCTGGGACCCTAGGGTCTGACCCCAGGGTGCAGGGGGTATTGTGCCACCTGGGAAGGATACAGGGAAGGATGCTGTGGTAGATGGCCCCATGGGCATGACCTGGGAAGGTTTTCTGGTTGACAGGCCCCAGGTCTGTGTGTTGGACCTGGACCTGCGCCTGTCTGTGTGACTCTGCCTTGTCTGTCTCTGCCTTCCTTCTGTCCCCAGGATACCCTGGTCCTGCTTTTGAAGAGTTTGCCCTTGGGCTGTTACTTCAACATCTACAGCTTTGGATCAAACTTCAAGTCCTTTTACCCGTGAGAAAGTGGGGGAGGGAGGAGATACCCTGGCACTGGGGAAGGGAGTCGGGGGTGGGCAGGCGCCTCTGCGAGCCTGGCTGGGATTAATGGGAATGGGGGTTGTGTCCAAGGGGGAAAATGGCCCGGAAGGTAGGGAGGAAGAGAGAAGCTATGTCCAAGGCTACGCAAGAGGGAGGAGACCTGGGAGGTGTCTCTCTGTGGTCCAGTTGGGTTTGGGCTCTGGGGGCATCTGTGTGATAGGGTATAGTGTGATGTCTTTGGGGAAGGGAAGCCAGGGAGGCTGTGGGGCATGGTTGGGGCCGGGTCTCTTAGGTGAATTATGAACAGCAACTGTCCCTGTCAGTAATTCCCAGCACCTCCTACAGACAGAGTGTCGAGTACACCCAGGGAACCATGGCTGACTCCCTGAAGCGCGTCCAGTCCTTCCAGGCAGATCTGGGAGGCACTGAGATCCTGCGGCCACTACAAGCCATTTCAGCCCCCCCAGCCACTACAAGCCATTTATGGCAGCCCTTGCCGGGATGGGCACCCTCGCCAGGTACCAGGGGCATCAGCAGGACAGTGTGGGGGGCTCAGAAATGGGCCAGCCATATGGGAACCCAAGGAAAGGTAGCGCCAGGGAGGGCTCTCTGTACGTGCCCTTGGGAAGAAACTGCAATACCCAGTCCCCCGTACCCATACCACGGCTGTACTGCAAGTGCAGGGGGTAGGGGAAGGGCTTACTGGGGACACTGGGAGGAACATGAGGCAGGGAGGAGCCCCCTGGGGTTGTGTCAGGGTCTGAAAGTAGGCCAGGGGCTCAAGGCAGGTGTGGGGGGAGAGGGGTTAGAGTTGGCAGTTCAGGTTCAAGATAGTTCAGGTTCAAGATTTCAGGGTCCCCTCCCCATCCCAGTGCATGGGAGGTCTCTTGTAAGGAGGTGGGCTGGGGTCTCCAGCTCTGAGAGTTTATGTGCTCTCCCCCAAATCTTTGTTTTCACTGATGGGGAGGTGGGCAACACACAGGAGGTCATCGCTGAAGTCCAGCGTCATCACAGGTCCCAGAGGTAACAGCCCCCTGCTGCCTGCCCCCTCACCCCTGGTTCTGCCCCACTTCTGTCATGGATTTGTGGGGTTGCCTGAGTCATTGGTTCTCATCCTTGCTGTCCCTGGGGACTCCCCCATTTATCTGACAGGCCTTGGGTGTAGCTTTCAACAAAGCTGTTGTTCCCCCGGGTTTCCTCTTGAGCAGTGTACACACTTTGCCAGGGTGTTGGCTGTGCTGCTGCTGTCACCAGTGTGACTTACACAACGAATTACCAAAGCCTGGTTCGCTGACAAGAGTTCAGCCGGGTTTATTATCTACTTGGCTCCGACTCACTAACACACCTGTCCAAAGCACAATGGGTTGTTAGCCCTGGATGCCGTTGGTAAGTCCCAAAGATTTCCAGGCCCCCTCTTATTTGTGGATCCAAACATAGATTCATAGTATTGTGTGAATCTTCCATATTAAAAATGAAGGTGGTGGGTTAATTCTGTAACTTTGTAAGGTCAAAGACTTGTTTTTTGTCATTTTGGTTGACACTGTTGAAGTGGGAAAGTAATGTTTCATGCATCAATTTTACTGTCTGTGCACCATCTAAAATATATCCCATCAATTGCAAGATAATGAAGAATTAAAAAGTTTTGTTTACTAATTGGTGCCATCAATTATTCAGATGACAGAATATACAGGCAAATCTCCAGATGGTGTGAAACTGGAATGAAATGCAAATACTTTAGGGGACAGGAATAGAGTTCAGATGGATACGGATAGATTGGGGAGCTGGGCTTGAAACAATAAGATGAAGGCCATGAAATAAATGCAACTTGCTTCACATAGGGGAGAAGAATCAAAAGCACAAATACAGCCTGGGTTAAAATTCCTGGGTGGTATCATGGTTGAAAAGGTGGGTCACAGACTTAATATGAACACGGTATTTGATGTAGCTACAGAAACATTCATGCAGTTTTGGGCTGCAACAACAGGAGTATTATATGTAAAACAGGGGTGTACGTTGTAGCCGTGTGGGTCTACAGACACAGGCAGACCAGGTTCTTTGTGTGAATCTGATACCTTTCATTAGATCAACTTAAATTGCTGGAAAAAATTTTCTTAGCAAGCACTCGGGTTTAATAGCCAGGAAGAGCACACACCAACTGCAGATGCTTCCCCAGCCTGACGAAGGGTTTTTAAACCTGAAAGCTTGCTTCATCTTTTGTTTTCCTTCAGGCTCTGAGTGCAAGGTTTCAGGGTAAAGATGAGAACTACATACATTAGGCAGCTCAGTCAGTTTGGGCCCACAGTAAACCATGAATCAAGTCTCTTTTGCACCACAAGGAAGAGGATACACAAGGAGAACATTCATGGAGATTTGGTTATGGAGACATTTTTATTTCTGATGCAGAGGGGTTGTTTTTCCAAATGGCAAAAGAAACGATTCAAGACTGAGGAAGGCATACCACTGAAGAGCAGATTCTCATTGATTTGTGTTAGAGCACATCATTTTCCACCAAAGCCTTGAGGTCCGGTGTTCAGAGGGCTAGGATGCTGAAAAGTGCTCTAGCATTGTTGGGTGCCTATCTACTTTTCCCTGGTTTGCAAACAGCTGTCTCATTAACTCCAAGCCTTCATACTGTGTTTTGATCATAGTAAGGGAGGGTTACCAGATCACTGGGA